ATCATCAAACTCTGTGAGTTGAGGCATCTTTGATTTTTGGAGAGTGACGACCAAAAATTAGGTCACAGTGACCTACTTTTTTCATTTTATGGCTATATTTAAGTATCTTAGGTATTTATTGGCTTAGAATCATCAAACTTAGTCAGCAGATGCATCTTTGGACTCTGAAAAATGTCGACTAAAATGTAGGTCATGGTGACCTACTTTCAACATTTTATGGCTATATTTAAGTATCTCTGGTACTTATTGGCTTAGAATCATCAAACTCTGTGAGTTGATGCATCTTAAGTTTTCGGAGAGTGAAGACCAAAAATTAGATCACAGTGACCTACTTTCGACATTTTATGGCTATATTTAAGTATCTTAGGTATTTATTGGCTTAGAATCATCAAACTTAGTCAGCAGATGCATCTTTGGACTCTGAAAAATGTCGACTAAAATGTAGGTCATGGTGACTTACTTTCAACATTTTATGGCTATATTTAAGTATCTCTGGTACTTATTGGCTTAGAATTATCAAACTCTGTGAGTTGATGCATCTTGAGTTTTCGGAGAGTGAAGACCAAAAATCAGGTCACAGTGACCTACTTTCGACATTTTATGGCTATATTTAAGTATCTTAGGTATTTATTGGCTTAGAATCATCAAACTTAGTCAGCAGATGCATCTTTGGACTCTGAAAAATGTCAACTAAAATGTAGGTCATGATGACCTACTTTCAACATTTTATGGCTATATTTAAGTATTTCTAGTACTTATTGGCTTAGAATCATCAAACTTTGTCAGTTGATGCATCTTGGGTTTTCGGAGAATGTCGACTAAAAAGTAGGTCACAGTGACCTACTTTCGTCATTTTATGGCTATATTTAAGTATCTTATGTATTTATTGGCTTAAAATAATCAAACTGTGTAAGTTGATGCATTTTGGGTTTTCCAAGAATGTAGACCAAGAAGTAGTCCTTATTGGCTAAGAATCATCAAACTTTGTCAGGTGGTGCAACTTTGGTCTTAGAATACATAGGGTTAGAGGCTTCAAATACAAGTGATAGGTTGTACAATTTATCAGAAGAGCGATTCAAGGCCCTTGGGCCTCTTGTTTTATATGATCTACTAAAATTTAATAAATAAATATATAGAAAATGATAATTAATGCCCCCAATCCATAATCTTACAGACACCTAAATAATTGCAATCAAAACCAAATCGGAATTTTCATTTCAAGTTAAAACAAACAGTTGCATAATCAACCACCCTAAATTCATACGTGTCATGTGCATTGAGGGCATAACTAATACTGTCAATTGTCTGATTTGGATAAAATTCACGAGACAATCAAGCAATATGGTATACAAGCAGTTTTTTTAAATTACGCTCTCAAGACAAAACACAAGATTGAAAAGTGGAAAGAAAGAAAAACTGCCACATTTTGTTTGCAACTATCGGAGTTTCAATGTCACCCAAATTTTCCCGCTAACGAAGACACATTCACATATGAGTCTGCAGACGCACCACTTATTACACTTGCATGTATAGAATACCTGAAGGCATATAAAAAACATTTTGCAATTGTAATTTTTGCGGATTTGTCCTATCTGCCAAAATTGGACAACCGCAAAAAATACCCGTTATACGGAATTTCACATGTGTATTCCATGTGACAAGACCTTTCTTTCGATATCAACAATTTTGGCCTTGGGGTTTCACTTGCATTTTAGAAACTTCAACCTTTGCCATCAGCTGCCACACACGGGCATAAGTGTTTAACAATCACATCTTGCTGGAAAATAAAATTTTATTTATCATGTATAAGCTTATAGGAAATGAAAGTGGTAATATACCTGAATTTACTGAAATAAATCATCCCTTCACAAATTTTATTTACAAACAACAAACTCAATTAGAAACAACAAACTTAATTAACAAAACCATGATAAGAATTGCTTTACAATGATGTACATAGTGGGTTGTCATAGAAATATAAAAAATCCCCATTTCTTTTGATAATAGGCAATAGTTATATCAATACCTTAGCTGCAGCTATGAAAAAAATTGGGATGGATGACCAGAGAGCTACAGTTCCAACCACTGAAATAAGTTTTATTTATTGCGCACAAAATAGTGAATTGTTTCTCTATTTGTTTCTCAATAAACTGTAGAAGTACTTTTTTCCACGTGATATTAATTTTATGCTATGTGTGCGGTCACAGATTTTCAGCAGAAATTTGTCCAAGTGCACTTCATATAAATGTAAGGTATTTGGTGATAGTCTGAGAATTTTCTACATACAGATTACCGGTAAACAGAAATTGAAAATCCGCAGAATTATGACCCCATGGAAAAAAGTGTGTCATCAGTATTTAAGCTGCCATTTCAAAATATTATAAACAATGTGTTCCCAAGATATTTTTTCACTTCTTTCACAACAAAACATTTCTCAGCCCACAAGTCAATTCAGTCCAACGCATTTCCTACATGACTTGTACATAGAGTTTTATTGTGGAAGTAGTAGAAGAATATGTTAGGAACACACTGTTAGGAATAATTTAATATTTTCTAAACATTAAATGGAGAAACAGCATACTATTTTGTGAGTAATTAGTACACACTTTAGAGCTGAAACGAATACTGTGGTTTCATCAATTTTCGTTGGCATCAATTTTCATGGATTTTGTAAAACAGACGTTTTCTAGGATATTTAATTTTGTGGACAAAAGTTTTGACTATACAAATCAATGTCATATTTCGTAATTCAGTGAACATTTGATTTTGTGGATCTGCTCAACAATAAAATTCATGAAAATTGGTGCTCAACGAATATTGATGAAACCACAGTACCTTAAATCAACATTTGAATATTCATGACTTCATTTGATTAGTATTGGAACATCTGGTAATTAAAAATAAAGAGTTATGCCTTTTCATATACTTGCAAATTCTATTGTTTATTACTATATATCTATGTATTTATAGGTGTAAGAAATAAAGATCTGTTCAAAGTCGTTTGACATAGAAATGTACATTAGGACTCGTGTTTATTTTCAAGAAAAAACTAAATTAGAAAAAGGATCTTTATCAACAATCATTAGCCTCTTTACTTCTTTAAATTAGGTCACTGTAGGTTGTTGTATTGCATTCTGATTACGTTAAACGCGTAATCACTAAACCAGCAAGTGCTCGCCATGTTGAACTGTAATATTATTTTAAACAATCTGTTTCCAGAAACATTCTGTAATTTTTTAAATCTATATATTTAAATTTTAAATATAAAATTCTTAAAAAGACGTAATATAATGTTTATTTTTTATATTTGGTTTCTGCATTTATGAATATAAACAAGAATATAAACTAAGCTGGGTAATGAAAAATCTACCCATATAAGCAGCGTTATATCCAATGTTTGTCATTCTGGTCTTCAGCTACAGTCATATCTACACCACCGACAAAGAGAGCCCGAGTCGACATCTAGTTTTTTCCTATAAAAATATTTATTATATTTGAAAAAAAGTGTAACGGTAGTGCTGATGTATACTAAAGATAAGTTAAAAAAAAATTAATAATTTAATTCTATAAATGAAAGCATTTTTATATCTCTTTTTGTATACATGTATAAGAGTTACAATACAAATACAGTGTATCTGGAAGAGAAATCAATAGAATTCAGATATCCGGACGCTTAACTTATCCGGACAATTTGCCTGGGAACCAAAGCGTCCGGATAAATGAGGCGCCACTGTATATAGGAAAAATCTTTGAAAATCTTCTTCTCAAGAACCACGGGGTCAGAAATATTGAAACTTATATGGAAGCATCCTGATATAGTGTAGATTCTAAATTGTTCAAATCATGACCCCCGGGGGAAGGGCGGGGCCACAATGGGGAATCAAAGTTTTACATTGAAATGTATAGGAAAATTCTTTGAAAATCTTCTTCTCAAGAACCACTGGGCCAGAAAAGCTGAAACTTACACCGGTATATAAGCATCCTGATATAATGTACATTCTAAATTGTTCAAATCATGACCCCCGGGGGAAGGGCGTGGCCACAATAGGGATTCAAAGTTTTTATATAGAAATATATAGGAAAAATCGTTGAAAATCTTCTTCTCAAGAACCACTGGGCCAGAAAAGCTGAAACTTATATATAAGCATCCTGATATAATGTAGATTCTAAATTTTTCAAATCATGACCCCCGAGGGAAGGGCGTGGCCACAATCGGAAATCAAAGTTTTACATAGAAATACATAGTAAAAATCTTTGAAAATCTTCTTCTCAAGAACCACTGGGACAGAAAAGCTGAAACTTATGTGGAAGCATCCTGGTATAATTTAGATTCTAAACTGTTCAAATAATGACACCTGGGGGAAGGGTGGGGCCACAATGGGGAATCAAATTTTTATATAGAATTATATAAGAAAATTCTTTGAAAATTTTCTTCTCAAGAACCACTGGGTCAGAAAAAGTGAAGCTTATGTGGAAGCATTCTGGGGTAGTGTAAATTCTAAATTGTAGGAATCATGACCCCGGGGGAAGGGCGGGGCCATTATAGGGAATCAAAGTTTTACATAGAAATATATAGGAAAAATCTTTGAAAATCTTCTTCTCAGGAACCACTGGGCCAAAAAAGCTGAAACATATGTGCCCATGGAAGGATCATGGGGTAGTGTAGATTTCAAAATGTCTAAATTATGATCAGTAGTGTAGTGTGGGGATGCATTATGTATCTGGTAAAGGGTGAAATCTGGTAAAGAACAGAATGGTCAAAGCTTCTCAGGTGAGCGATGTAGCCCATGGGCCTCTTGTTTATATTTGGTTTTTGCATTTATGAATATAAACAAACCATTCTCTTTGTTGAACTGAAATATTTTTATGCCTCCCATGAGAAATATCAGCCTGAAAATGCAGTGAAATACAACCAAACACAGATATGCAGTTTTTGTCTAATATGTCATTTTATTCAATGACATATAGAAAAATGTAAAACAAATCATTAAAGTGGCACAGTGAGTCAAAATCATATCGTAATTTTAAGATATCTGTAGCATACAGAGAAAGACTTATGAAATTATGAGTATTTAGTAAATATATGACAATTAAACTGCAAGAATCGACTGCACAATATAAGTGCCGGAAAAGTAAAGGTTGTATCTACCGTTTCGTTGTTTCGGTTATGTCAAGGTCACGCAACTCTTATTTTTAGCTCAAACTTGTAAACAACATTCAACTGGAGCATGCAAAGGTGAGAAATATGTTCTAAAAACTTTTTAAAAAAAATTAAATCAAGTTTTTTGGTCTTCTTACATTCATTCTTAATTAACTAAGACCATTGTAACTATGGAAACTTATTCAACACTTTTCTGCGCACGCGTACAATAGGGAGGAAGAAGTACCAGGGTATTTTGCAATATTTTCGTTCTGGGGCAGACAGAAATTAATTTTACTTTTATTTTTCCCCATAAAATATCATTTTTAGGTTCTGAAACGTAATTTTCTGAAACTGAATATTTTTAGGAATTGAACAAAATTTATAGAGGTCATGCGAGAATTCTACATTTGTCAATTTTCCCCTTTGTGCGTTACAGTGCCGCTTTAAAGGGGATCATCTAATATTAAACAATACAGGTTACATATACATATGTGAAAGGTACAAGTGTGATCCCCCTGAGACTGACTAGAAATTTACATGCAGTGAACATATCAGAGTACAAGTAAATATGCATAAAATATAACATAAATGAGTAAATCCTTTGAGGCGTCCAAACAATTGCGCCGAGACTGACTAGAAATTTACATGCAGTGAACATATCAGAGTACATGTAGGTAAATATGCATAAAATATAACATAAATGAGTAAATCTTTGGGGACGTTCAAACAATTGCGCCAATCAAGAAACATATGACAAGTTAGTTAGAAAAATACAAATCTGGACTAAAATGCAAGATAATATAAAACCAAAAACCCCAAAAAGGAAAAAGGGTGGGTGGTGGGTTTTTTTCTTCAATGCACTGCCAGGCTAACAGAAATCGCGCAACAAAATCAAGGATTTTGATTGGATAACTCTGTCAAGCAAAATAAGTTGCTATTTCGCAATGAAAGGTTCTATGATAATTGCACTGCGATAAGGGCCCATATCCTGCAGACTGCGCAGGGATATGCAGAATTATCCTTAGGTGTAAAATATAATTTTAAAAAAAAGGAAAATTCCAAGGGGGATAGGGAATGACTCAGATTTTTTTCTCTGAATTGCTGAATTCTGACAGGTAACAATCTTGATTTATTATTATTGATTTCTGTTCATGAGTGCCATGATTTCTTGTATAATTCTCATCAATGTAGCAGTTTGGATGTTGTGGTATGGTTTTTGTCTGAGAGATTGTTGATAGGAGTACAGAGCAGCTTGATGGTTCCCTGTCATCTGTTGACAGATCCCCAGAATCTGCCAGGAAATGTCTTTGAGATTTACATGTATATACCTCCCCTGATCTTGGTGGACCAGGTCCTGTAGATCATTTAGAGATGATTGTGCTCTCACTGGGTCTATATGTCTGTAACACAAGATCTCTAACATGTGTATGAAAACATAGGATGGGATTTTTAATCCAGGGGATCCACACTGTAACCCAGACTGCTGTTCTAGCACTAATTCATTGATGTAACAGACATGATTATCAAGTCCAATATCCCATGCCACAGCATGTCTCATATTTGTAGACCAGGACTGTCCCCCCAAGGACTGATGAAGCATGTACCGTACTGCATTCTCAGATAAATCGTGGACATACATTACATATGGCTGTGCTAACTTCACCTTTGTCATTTCTAGAACTGATAGGGCTTCTTTATATCTAAGTGTCTTATAGTAAAACATTGCAATGTACAACATATCAGAAATACACCCAAACTTGACTGCTAATTTCAGCATATAGCTGGATGCTTTGTTAGCTATATACACCTGCTTGTTTACAACTGAGCTTGTATTTACCTCAAATGGAGCAAAAAGGATTGGAAGCTGGTATAATATAAAAGCAGTGTTCTGGAGTACAGTGGCTGTAAACCTCTTTAATTGGAGAACCTGGCACTGAGTCAGGGGTAAAATTATCAACTTCTCGAAAGCATTGAGGAACCTCATACAGGTGTGTAGGTCTGGTGTTGGTATGCCAAATGAATACAATTCATTAAGTAGATCTATTTCAAACAAAACCTTGGAGATCAAAATGTGTTTATTTGTATCAACAGATTGTCTGGGATTTTGAAGGACAGTGATTACACTGGACCTGATAGATGGACAATGAAGCAGTGATGCTAAACCCATCTCGTACAATTTATGAAGCCTGATGAATAATTTGTTTTGTGCTTCACCATGAATATTACTCAGAAACATGTTGTTTTCTGGAATAAAGAAGTTTGGACAAACCCCCTCATACACCCATTTAAGGATAAGTTTAAAACAGATCCAGAAACACTGAAGAAGGTTTTGTGGATGCCATTGAGGTATTGTGTTTTGTTGAATCACCCAGAAAACTGCTGTCTTCATGTGATATGAACACAGTAATTTATCTCCTTCACTTAATCCTTCATTAATAGACTCTTTTAAAAACAGTTTTAGCAGCCCATAGGTTAAGAATTGGCAGTGGTTCAACGAATAGACAAGTTTTTGTTCTGCTAAAGAGAAGGAAATTCTCCATTCATTGTCTGCGTGTTTTCCGAGTTTGTGTCCTATTGCTACAAAGTGGCATCCACTTCCAACTACGTCATTAACAATAAAAGACGGAGGCCATGAGTGACATCTGTTGGTCCATTTGGATGCCGGAGGAGGCCAAACATCACAGACAAAACATTGGGCAGCATCAAACTCTACTTCCCAGTAAACACCACTACCACACGGACCATGTTCCTTAGAATTAGGAATAGCATCTGAACATGTTATTTGTCTGTGTATGGAACTTATTATATAGAATCTGTCATTTATTCTCACACATGCATCCTGTACACTTGATATTTCCGTTGGTGTCAGTAATTCAAGTAAAGCATATCCTGGTGGGCTATCAGAACAATCACAGAGAATCAGTGTTTTATTATTTAGGTCATAATTCTGAACCTGGTCCAAGTCCCAGACTACATAGTGATCATGTGGCCAAAACATTGCGTCCATATCTGATGTCTTCAGTTTGAATCCTTCTCTGCGACTGCCACTAGTCATCATCCTATATTCTTTTCTTTTATTAATTAATTGATCTGTCATCCTGTCCATGAACTCTTCCATCTCTCTCCTCATGATCACCGTCTCTGAGGACCCCACTATGTGACTCAGTTTCATAAACACAGACTCTGATAAATGCTGTTTATCTAAGTCCCTGCACAGAACATTCAAAATACATATATATTAAATATGGTTAAAAAATAGTTTGTTTTAAGAAAATTGTTTGTTTCACTATTAATCCAAGGTATTTTGATTTTAATTAAAGTCTTACAGGTCATTGTTTTTATTGAAGAACACCTCAATAAATAGTAATCATATTATTGAAGAAATACATGCTTGTCTGTATAGATTAATAAAAAGGTACATGTTTGTAGAAGATGTTTTTTTACTTACAGCCATTTGTAGGAAGACATTTTAACGTTATAGTTCCTGTTACTTAAATTAAAGACTATAATTAGAAGTGGAAAATTCCAAATGTTTACTTCCAGTTTCACAAACTATATTTAGAAGTGGAAAATCCCTAATGTAATTTTCAGTTTATAAATAAATAAACATGTATGAAATCAATAATATCATAGTTTGGTATTTGTATGAAACATTCTACCATGATTATTCAAAACATGAAATGAAGCCGCCACACATTATTCTCCAATAAATCACGAATCAAAAGATTATCATATCAGAAACATGTATCAAATTTAAAAAATTCAAATGCATATTTGGCTGTAGAATGAAATACTTGTTTAGCTCTTTTCCCCTTAGACCTTTCCCTCCTTTACCCCTTAATCACGTTAATGACGACTTTTGACGCCTAGCCCCCAACCCTTAATGACGAGTTTTGACGCATGTGTATTTCATTGTTGATTTGACTTGAAATTACCGCTTGTTTACAAATTATCAGAGCACAGGTGGCCACCTGCAGGTTAACTATAGACGATTGCATCATACTACAGTTAGAAATCACGTGAGCATATAACTCAGTAAATACGCAATATTTTCTCATCCAGTAAAGCATTTCATGAAATTCAAACTATAAACTACCTATTTCTTGAAAGGTTTGAAAATTATAATGATCTATATGTGTAATATACTCCAACAAAAGTTACGAAAATTTTGTGAAGTTCGGGACCGCGCAGTGCCGATTTCGTCACGTGTTTCTCACAAATTCAGAAGATTGGATATGGAAATAACGAACAGTATTCAATCTCAACGTCCATTAAACAAATATACAAAATAAGAGCAGAGCAAACACGGACCTCCGAAACATCAGAGGTGGGATACCTTCCATTTTACACATATTTATAAATATAAAGGTGTAGAAAATACTTATTTTAATAGAATTAGATCTTTAAAGTGTCCAAAAACGTTCAGAAATCAAGTTTTAGGACGCAAGTCTGAAAATTTGTCGGCGAGATTGACATTGAAGAAGCACTACAATTTATTAATTTCTGAGTAATTAAACTTATAAAACTGATAATAAATAGTAATTTAACCATCAATTATATCATCACACATGTTTTTTTTTTATTATTTATACAGACAATTTTGGCTTATTAAAGCCGTGTTACATGTTGAAAATATCTAATTTCCTATTTACACCTGCTTTCACCTGAATTATTTTTTAACAGAAATTTCCGATCGAAATTATGTAAAAAGATTTGAAAAATTTAATTTATTATAAATCCAGTGATATATAATACATAATATAAATGAAATATTATGACCCTTAATAGTTCAGTTTTAAACTGCACTCCAATTCATCTCCAATTCATCTAAAACGCTCTGAGGGGCAGCCAGGCAAACACTCTAAGGATATGGCCAGTGCGTCAAATCGTGGCATTAAGGGGTAAAGAGTTAGACCGCATTGATGTGTCATCTTTATAAGAAATAAACACTGTAAATTTCATGAAGTTGCTGATGAAGTCGATTTTTATAGCTAAGTGGGGCTATTCCACGGACCTCCCTACACATTAAACAACGTGATTTTAGCAGTAAAACAGGAACATGATTTTGTTATTGTACATTCCTTTTAACTGATCAATACATATAACGAACAATTTTGTAATTTAAAAAAGGCTATTTTCAATGTAACGAAAGCTCAGATTGTCAGCATTCCTAACACAGGTAAGCAAACAAATTGTACCTCTAGTGTTAAATAAAACAGCGTAATCGAGACATGGTGACCTATTCGTTTCTCTATAGAGGAAAAGATTAACCATATTTATCGGTCTTGGTAGAAAAGAAATAATGTCCTTTTTGTCGTAAATGATGCAGAATAACCTCCTCGGTCTCGAAATGTTGTTTGAAATATAAAAGCCTCCGCTTACGCCTCGGCTTTTATCTTTCAAACAACATTGCTCGACCTCGGAGGTTATTCTGCAACATTCACGAAAACGTGGACTTTATTTCTTAATTAGATGTCTTGCACTTGCATGATTTTTGAGCCATGAGCACATGCAGTAGTTTTGTGTTAAGGTAAGTCACTCCTCAGCTTTTTAGAAAAGTTCACGCAGAAGCTTTTAATTCAATACTACTAATCAAAATTCAATTTTTATGACATATTTATATACAACTATGTAAATTTTTTAACATCGAATGAAAAAACTGCTCAAAAATCAACAAAGAAGCAAGATTTATGAGGGACTATTTCTTTTGGTGGAAGGATATTTAGCAGAAAATTCTACAAATCTGCAGATTTATAAAATTTAATGTAATGGAAATTTAGCCTCACATACTTTTACTTGGAGAATATTTTCCGTTTTGATATTGCTAAAATATTTAATATAGGTCTTTATTTATATTTTTAGACTATGTTTTGCACCTTCCTTCAAAAATGAAAATATATGAAAGAAGTCAAGGTCAGATTTACACCATTTTTAGCCTGAAAATCACATATTTCGACAAATATTTCAAAATTAACATCACTGACCCCTAATTTTCCTTTCATTATTTTAAACTATTTGATACTTGTGACTGATCATCACTCAAGTCGTAAAAAGTTTGATATAAGAAAATTTTTATTGCTTTTTAAGTTTTTAATACCCCAAATATGTTTTTTTTATTGCAAAAAGGTCAAACAATAATTTACGCGTATTAATTTGCAAGATTTTTATAATGTTAAATATTATTCAAATTATTTTACAAAAAATAAGATTATATTTATTGCCTTGCTTACATCTAATCGAATATAATAAGGGTTAAAGTAATTAACCAAAGAGATGAAATGTAAGTGCAAAAAGGTCGACTTAAATGTACCGTAGATCAGTAGGATGCACACTGACCCCCTATTTTCTTTGCAATTTTGAGTTACACTTTATGAGTACTTATCAAAAATATACTTCTCAAAAAATCCTTGATATAACAAACTTGAGGAGTGACTTACCTTAAAACACATGTATAGGGCATAATTAATTAACTGATAATTAAAATTATTAAAATAGGCACTCCCTTCCAAAGTGCAACTCAGAGGGCTGCATTTCATTTCCGGAATTTTTGGTAATTATCAACTTTTCATTTCCGACATTTTTTAGTTTTCATTTCCGACATTTTTTTGTTTTCATTTCCGACATTTTTCAAATACATATGTAGTTCCTATATTAACAGATTTGATAACTTTACTTTAATATGAAAAATTTAAGAATTAAATCATAAATAAGTCATTGAAATTCAATAATTTGTAAATCTATCAGTGTCTTGGACATAATCTGTGTGGTGCTGTCACTGACATTTAATTTGTGGACATTAAATGTGGTGAAAATGTGTTATGCTTATTGAACACTTTTACCTACACTTAGTGCTACATGTATGCAAATACGAATAAATATTTTGTTTTTATACCCCCCCCCCCCGCAAACGAAGTTAAGGGGGGTATATTGGAATCACCATGTCCGTCTGTCCGTCCGTCCGTCTGTCCGTCTGTCTGTAGACGAGACTTTGTCCGGACCATTACTCAGAAACTATTGGAAGGATTTGTCTGAAAATTTGTACACATTTTATTCACCATATGAAGTTGTGCACCTGATATTTTTCATCTTGATTGGATTATTATTTTGAATTTTACAGGTGTTTTTTCATTTTTATTTTGGGGTTTTGTTTGGACCATTTCTCAGAAACTATTGCAAGGATTAATCTGAAAATTTGTACAATTATTATTCACCATATGAAGTTATGCACCTGGAATTTTCAACTCTTTTTGTTCACAATCACACGGAAATCTTCTTTTTATAATTTATTATGACGATTAAAGGCAATAACAAATCCACAAGGGTTAACAATATCAATACCACATTGGCTAAGATAATCAGATGGTTTCTGATATGTATTCAATATTTCTTCAATGTAAAATCAATACAAAATCAATAAACTCAATAGTAATCAAGCTCACAAAAACTCTCATATATATAGTATCGAAGAGACTTCTAGAAATAGAAACTTCTATAACATACTAGGTCATCACATTCTTAAATATTCTAGATACTTCTTGATAATTAATTCACGAAACATTTAGAACATTCTAGATTATATCTGTACATCATTCAATTTCTAGAAAGGTGCACAGGTACATAGTCTGGGTCCATGAGATCAAAATGTTCACTATCTTGAAGTCCTATTTTTGGATTCAAAGTGAGGAAATGCGCTGGAGTTAGGGTGATGTTTGAATTAATATCGTCTCCAATATAGACTAAGGGCCTAGAATTCACGACTGCCTCAGCTTCTGCAAGCATCGTTCTCATTTGCTCATTTGTTAAACAGAGTTTTCCTATTGTTTTTCTTAAGCATCGTTTGACAACACCAACCAGACGTTCATAAAATCCTCCCATCCATGGTGCCAGTTCTACAATAAATTGCCACTGAATCTCTTCATATGCAATATAACTTTGGACATCACTATCAGAAGTAACTCTTTCCCAACTTTTATCCAAAACCAGGCTTGCAAGTTTGAATTGAGCACTATTATCAGAGATAATTTGTTTTGGCTTGCCCCAACGCGCAATAAATCTCCTTAGTCCTAGTAGAAACTGTTCTGTGGACATGTCCTGCATGAGTTCAAGATGTATGGCCCTTACTACCAAGCAGGTAAATAGACAGACCCATACCTTTTTACTGCCAGTGTCTGTTTTGATGAAGATTGGTCCAAAGTAATCCACTCCCGTGTATGTAAATGGTGCTGATTCACTCACACGTTTCTTTGGTAGTGGAGGCATCAGTGGCATCTTGTAAGGACCACCATCAAACCGCTTACAGATTGTGCATTTATGAAGTATTCGTTTTACTTCTGCTCTTCCCTGTGGAATCCAATAGTCTTGACGGACTAATGACAGTGTTTGGGAGACTCCGACATGAAATGATTTTTTATGGATGTAATCAATAATTAGCCCCGTCACATGGTTCTTTCTTGGAAGGAGGATGGGAGTTCTTGCTCCTTCTGATAGCTGAACATTCTTGAGTCTTCCAACACATCTGATGATTCCTTCCTCATCCAATACAAGTCCTAATTGACTAATTAGATTATTTCTTTTCTTTTCTTTGAGTGCTGATTTGATATCACCATAGTGTTGAACTGGGATATTCCTTATCACAAGAATTTTAGCATTCTGTAGTTCTGAATAAGTTAGATGAGTCCAAGGCATTGGAATTTTCCTCACTCTTTTGATAAACCTAAGAGTCCATGCTAAAACTGGAATAAGGTTTATAAATGATGAAAACTTTTGGTAGTCAATGATGTCTGGATATCCAGTTGAGTCAGAATCTGAGTTGTTTTTTCTTCCGTTAGGACTCTCCCCAGCCACCAGTTTCGCTTCATAGACAATCTTTGGAGACTTGCATTCTGATTCTATGACACTCTGCATTTCTTTACAGGTTTGTTGACTGTTCCATGAAGGCCAATTGTCTTTCCCTTTAAGTAACCATTCTGGACCATTCCACCATTGTTCAAATTCCTGAAGACTTTTAACTGTTGTTCCTCTGCTTGCAATATCAGCTGGATTATCTTTTGTAGACACATATTGAAAAGTGATATCTTTGTTGTTTCTGATTTCTTTTACTCTGTTTTCCACAAAAGTTTTCAGAGGTTTCTTCATTCTTATCCAATGTAATACACATTGGGAATCGGTCCAAAGGATCTTTTCTGTGACAGGTAACTTCAGTTGTTTTTCAACAAAGTTTATGCATCGGACTCCAATGACAACAGCCAATAGTTCCAGTCTAGGCAGTGTTAATTTCTTGAGTGGCACTAATCGAGTTTTTGAAAACAGCAAGTTGACAGTACTTCTTTCTTTGTTGCTCTGGTGTAAATAGACCGCACACGCATATGCTTTAGTTGATGCATCGCAAAAGCACATTAGATTATATGTCACTGTACCAGGAAGTCCAATAAAACGAGGAATAGGGATATGGGGAATATCATCCAGATCTGCGGATATATTTTCTTAGTGTTGAATGTCTTCTTTGGTCAGTTCTTCATCCCACTCTTTCCTTTGGTTCCATAAAGTTTGTAGAAACAACTTTGTTCTCAAAGTAACTGGGGTAAAGAATCCAAGTGGATCAAATACAGAAGCAATTGTTTGAAGGACTTTCCTCTTGGTGATAGGTGGAATCTGTGTTTCATATCTTGAACTGTTTATGAACAGGGAGTCCTCGGAAAGTTTCCAAGACAAACCAAGAATTTTTATGGTTTCTCTGTTTGCTTGATCAGCTTCAGGAATACACTTGTTGAATTCTTTGGAGTTAGATGCCCAGTCTCGTAAATTCATTGACATGGTACTGAAGATCTCTTTAGCCTCTGTATATAGTTTCCTAGCCTCTGAGACGGACTCTACACCAGTGATAACATTATCTACGTAGATATTACTTCTTATGTTTTCAGCTGTTGCTGTGTTGTAGTTTCCAAGATGGTAATCTAAAGTTGCCGCCAATAGGAAAGGGCTTTATATAACTCCAAATGGGACTCTCGTAAATCTATAAACTTGAATTATTGTTCTCTGTGGATGGAGTCTCAATATCCTTTAACCAGAAGAATCTTGTCACATCTCTGTCCTTTCCTTGTAATTCAATCTGTAGAAATGCTTTTTCTATGTCAGCAATAATTGCAATCCTTTTCATTCTAAATCTCAACAACAGTCCACACAAATTATTTAGCATCACTGGTCCTCTGTAAAGACACTCGTTAAGGCTGTTACACTCTGGTTTGACCTTTGCCGATGCATCATAGACGATCCGTACTTTTGTGGTAGTCTTTGTTGGATCAATGACAGCATGATGGGGTATGTAATGTTTGAAACTATTCTTAACTTCACTGCTCTTTGTCACCTTTTCAATTATGCCTTGCTTGCACTGGTCCCGAATTATTCCATCATATTGGTGAAGCAGCTCAGGGTTCTTTTTTAGTTTTTGAAGTAGAGATTTCAACCTTCCAAAGGCAAATTCTCTGTTCTCTGGGAGTTCAGGTTGCTCATCCTTCCAGGGCCAAGTGACTTGATATCTACCATTGACTAGTTTTATTGTGTCGTTAAAGTTTTTTAAAGCCTTGTCATCATCTGATGAGTGGGGCTGATCTTTGATTCCAATAGTTTCCAAGTTCCAGTACTCGTCTAGTGATGGCTTCAAGGGCAAACATTCATCGACAGAGGAATGAAGACAATATTCTGTTGTTAGATTGTTTCCATTTACAATCAGCATTTGGTGTAAATTATCTCTGGATACCTCAAAGTTAGCTTGTGTTTGTCCAGTGAGAATCCATCCTACTTTTGATGAGAGCAAGTAAAGTCCATGGTCAACTTCAATTTTTTCTGATGATACCAAATCAAGATAATAGTCATTCCCAATAAGGATGTCTATAGTTGAATTCTCTGTAGTTTTTGGTAATGTATCTGCAAACTGTAGGTGTTTCCATTGGCACTGAACCTTTTCAATGATGTTAGGTGGTAACGGTCTTCTGTGTATTGGTCCGGTTATTTGAGGCAGAACATTTGCCTCAATTCTCATGTAGTGTCCATCCTTCAGTTTAATTTTTAAAGATACATTTGGAATTTTTACTATCTTTGGTTTCGTGGATCCAAAGGTGACAAGTGATATTTCCTCTGTTCTTTTCCTCTTCAAATTCAATCTTGAAGCTAATTCCTCAGTGACATATGTTCTTTGAGACCCAGAGTCCATGAGAATTCTGATTGTTTCAAATCTCGATCCATGCAGATCTGATGCATCAAGTTTTGCAGTTTGCATTAGGACCATACTTCCTGATGACAGTAGGCTGTTTTTTCGAACATTGTTAACTGTTTCTGAGTCACATAGTTCGGATGATTCAGCGAAGTGTGAGGTTTCTCTCAAAGGCAGCCTTTTCTTGTTGCAGAGACTTCGGTGATGTTTCTTTGTTTGATGGCAATGGAAACATGGTTTGTCGACTTTGCAGTCTTTGCTAAGATGACCTGGCCTAAGACAAATATAACATTTTCCCTTAATCTTTTGTTTTCTGTCTTCAACTGTCCTAAATTCTTGGCATTCGTCACTCCAGTGATTTTGTTCACAGAAGATACAAATAGGATACTTTCTTTGAATTTTGTTTCTTCTTGGAGATTCTTTAAATGATGTTGTTAAGGCTTCCGCAGATGTATGTTTTCTTTCATGTTCATATAACATTCCAGGTAATGGAGGTTTTCTAGCAGATTGTTCTTCATGACCGGCTAGGTTTTCCATATCTGTAGACTCTCTGGCTGCTATGTAGTTATCAAGAAACATTCTCAGCTTTTGCACAGTCCACTTCTCTTTCTTTCCTTTCTGTATTTCTAATTGTAATCTGGCTTCTTTTGGTAACTTTGTTATAATCATGAAAACAAAGACATCCTGATTTACATCTTGTTCCAATGCTTCTAGGCTGCGCATATGCTTTTCTAAATCATCAAATAGTCTACGGAGACTGGAAGTATTATTCATTGCAGGCTTAATGTTTATAAGGTCCACGTAATGTTTGTTAATTACAGACTGCACATCTCCGAATCGTTCCTTTAATATGGAGAGAGCTACATCATAATTTTCATGGGAGAGCATGAGGCCGGAAATAGCAGATTGTGCCTTTCCTTCCATTTTACTTTTCAAGTAGTTGAACTTCTCAATATTGGAAAGCCTTGTGTTTTTGTGTACTGAAGCTTCAAAGGAGTCCCAGAACTCTTTCCACTTTAATTTGTCTCCGTTGAATGAAGGGAGTTCAAACTTTGGTAGTTTAACTACTGGAGTTTGTTTCTCTTTGCATATCTTCTCTTTTCTGTGCAGTTTCCGAATTTGGAGTTCTTGGAAATGCATCAGTTGTTCCTGCATTTTTGTCTGCAGATTTATCATGTGGTCTATTCTTGGGTCATTTGGTGCCTCAGTTTTCATATATGGAATGTCCGCTCGTTCCAATCTTTTTTCCAGTAGTAGAAGATCTTCTGAGTGCTCTGTAACATCTGTGAGCAATTCAAACAACTTTTCACTATCTTCTGTAAATTTCTCAATTTCAGATTCGTTGTCTTGTTTTGCTTCCAAGGCAATGGAAAGTTCTTTCATCGATTCTTCTAATTTAGCACCAAAGTCCTTTAACCGTCTCAAGGAAGATTGAATCTGCCTTAACTGGGTTGTCAAATCCTCTTCTTCAGCTTCTGAAGAAAGAAATGTCTTACTTTTGATCATTTCCTTCAGCAGTAGATTCTTGTACCTTGTACAAAGTCCTTTCAAGTATGAGGTTGACATCTTCTTCTTTTCCGTGATAACTTCTTGATTTCAGGCTCCAATTCCCGGGTTCCGGCACCAAACAATGTGGCGAATCACAATCACACGGAAATCTTCTTTTTATAATTTATTATGACGATTAAAGGCAATAACAAATCCACAAGGGTTAACAATATCAATACCACATTGGCTAAGATAATCAGATGGTTTCTGATATGTATTCAATATTTCTTCAATGTAAAATCAATACAAAATCAATAAACTCAATAGTAATCAAGCTCACAAAAACTCTCATATATATAGTATCGAAGAGACTTCTAGAAATAGAAACTTCTATAACATACTAGGTCATCACATTCTTAAATATTCTAGATACTTCTTGATAATTAATTCACGAAACATTTAGAACATTCTAGATTATATCTGTACATCATTCAATTTCTAGAAAATACATTAAAATTGCGACAATTCGCAACATTCTGCATTTTACAGGTTTTTTAAAATTTTAATTGACTTGTTCATTTTGGGCTCATGTATAAGGTTTGAGACATAGAATCTAGAATATCTGTACAAAAACATGAACTACAGCTTAAAACTACTCATAAAAACTTAAAAAAAAAAGAAACATCAAGTGTTAAAAACAGTTTTTACATTGCACAGAAGATAATGTAATTTCATTTGTCTCTTGGGAATAATGACTGGACATGCATCCAGTTAAAGATAAATTAATGAGTTTGGTGTTGGAAGTTGTTAAAGCATATCTCTTATTAAGTGTGTGTGTGTTATCAAATCTTCAGGGAATAAGGCAAAAGAATTAAGATCTCTCTTCTCTTATTCTCTTAATTGTAATTTATTGTCTGTCAAAACACTTCATTACTGGATGACCAGTTCTTTATTTTTAAAATGCATTTCAAATTGATATATCAAGATTAATTTGATTTTGTATAATGGTTTCTTTTTTCAACAATCAGTTTGCAGAGTGACATAACACATAATTGCAATATATTTTTTTAATGCAGTAATGAAGAAAAATTAAATGATCCCACCTCTGATGTTTCGGGGGTCCGTGTTTGCTCTGCTCTTGTTTTGTGTATTTGTTTAATGGACGTTGAGATTGAATACTGTTCGTTATTTCCATATCCTTATGATAAAAATAAAAAAAAATGTTACAATGGAATTACAATGTTTAGTATTGATGTTTCATTTGGTTGCACCTCCGTTTCATTCATAAAGAAACATGATGAGCAATTTTATTTCACTGCAAACTTTAAGTAAATTGTGAACATCTCTAGATCCATAAAGTATTTTTGAATTGGCACCTTCTCTGAAAAACCCAGCGGGGGGTATTTGTCCCTATTGGACAGTTCTAGTTTAATTCTTATTAATATTTTGGTATATTTACATTTGCAAATGTTTTCCTTTATATAACACTACTAAAGGCAAGCGTTTTTATAACTGTGTAAATACAGGTATGGGGTCAAGAGGTCATAGATGTGCGTTTGGATAAATGTGCGACGTAATTTCTCTGTGACGTCATAAAGGTTTGATGCACATTTAGTGGATTACATGTACATACGTGCTGTTGGGTTTGAAAAATTAAGGCATTTCACACGTTAACAGTAATAATCAGGCAAATATAAAGTATGAATAAGTAAATATAAGTGGCTTTACCTCTTTTCATATTTATCTTATCAAAAAATTATTTATATTTTAATGTAATATTACTGCTTTTATATTTTATAATTTTTTTGTATTCCACCTCTCAAAGTCAAAATTTTGCCTCAATGTACATTAAAGATTGAACTTCGAAACTGTTTCTCAGATTTTTGATAAATCTTCTTATTCAAAAGTTACATCCATTTGTCTTTCAATATAATATTACCAATTTATTAGCCTTATTCTACATTTCCCCCAATAATTCAAGAACTGAGCAAGATATCAAAAGTTTGAGATACGGTTTTGTAAATACACATTTGAGACATATTCTGGCCAGTTTTCAAAGAAATTGGTCAATAAATAAGGGAGCTGAATCCTTTGAAATAATACCATCAACTGTCTGCATCTTACTTTAGAGTAGAGGACAAAAACCCATTACACACCAAA